AGTTCCTCTGGCAGGGAAGACTCGACCAATGGATACAACATCGCTGCGCACATGTCAGTGGTGACTCCAAGTGATTCAAGAGACCTCAATTGAGTTTTCAGTTTGTCATATGTGGTTGACAAAGGTTTCTTGAGGTTCTTGTTGATGGCATTACTCAGCACAAGTTTAAGTAACTCTCGTATATACATTTCTACAAGGAGTTCTTTCTTTCCAAAACGATTTTCTAGTGCATCTATCGCCTTATCGTAATTTTCAGCGGTGGGTGGAAAGCTGTTAGTAACTCTCTTGCACTTGAGCCTTCTGCCATCGCCGGAACGAGGTATCCAAACTTTTGTTCTTTGGAGATTGTGGGGTCATCATGAATTACCTTGTATAGACTCCAAAACTGCAGCCAGTCCTTCATATCTCCAGAGAATTTCGGCAACTGAATTTTTGGTAGTTTGAACCTGTTGTGTTCCGCTCGTCCAAGCGGGTTGTCTCGCTCTGTGTCATTGTTCTCAGCTGGTAAACCTTGAGGAATGTTCAAGATGGCTTGCACTTTTATCCTAGCTGAGTTGTACTTGAGACGGTAATTGTCTTGATTGTCTAATTCTGCCGTGTACTCTTCAGCAGTGATTTGCTCATCACTCTCTATTTCTGCATTAATTTGGGTGTTGAACTCCTCAAGTTGAGTAGCTTTGGTTTGAAGGAGCTCAAATAAAGAGTGTAACTCGGTTTTATCGGGTGTTGCACTTTCCAANATGAATTAAATTTTAATGAATGGCGATGGATATGGCTTAGTAGTACCTAAATTTGAATAAAATGATTTAATTCCATGTATTCATTAATGAGAAATTGATATAAATACATGATTGAATGATGTCAATATAGGAGCTAGGATGAATAATGTATAATTACCGTAGGAAATGGCGGCCTGAGGATCCGAAACAAAATAATAAATCCGTTGGCAGAACGCAGTAAGACAATTGTATAAATGAAGGCTCTTTCAGAAAATTTGTAATATTTTTATCACACTTTTACGATGAATTACTAATCACTTTCGCGATCTCCTCCATTGATAATTGTACTGGCGATCAGCTTTCATAGCTGTCAGCAAACATAGGAAAATCTCTTTTTTTTCTTTTTTTACGCCCTTAACAAAGGGACAGTTGATGGACAGTACAATTTTCGATTAAGGAGATGGTTGTAAGTAATTCGTAGTTCATCGTAAAAGTGTTTTCAAGGAATTCTCGAAAATTTTACCAAATTTTTCAAAGAGCTTCTTTTTGTACAATCATCTGTTGCGCTGTGCTGAAGCATTTAGTATCTCGTCTTTCCTGCCCCCATGGTGGCCACTGACCGGCCGCCATTTGCCACGGTAATAATGTATTATTCATATCTCTTCTATTGAACTCATTCTGCAGTATTAATTAAAAATGCTTCTGCAAAATGTTCAGGGTTTTTTTTNCGGCCACCATTTGCCACGGTAATAATGTATTATTCATATCTCTTCTATTGAACTCATTCTGCAGTATTAATTAAAAATGCTTCTGCAAAATGTTCAGGGTTTTTTTTACATTTTTTCTATCCAAATTTACAATTTTCAGGTGTCTCTGAGTGACGAGGGATCGAGTTGAAATTTTGAGATAAACATTGAACAAAAAAAGCAATCTAGATAAGGTTTGGCGGATAATGGTGCCGAGCCTTAAGTCGAAGTTAAAAGATG